TTGTGTTGTTGCCCGCCATATTCATGCATATATATATATACGAGACTTTTGACCCTCCACTACAAACACAATAATAGTGCCCGAAGGCTTCTTTTCACCACGTACCAGTTGTTAATTGAAGCTGATGGCAGTGCTTCGGAGACTGATGAGCATTTTTCTTACATTTACTTTCTCTTCTAGGTTATTGTATCGTCCAACTCATGTAATAAATTTCAGATAAACTAGGGCATCATCTTGGAGGTCCATTCTTGTCAGTTCCAATAAGTCTGATTTCCTTCATTACCTCTGCGCGTGCGTATATCGTTTTCCTCTGGATCCGTTGTACTTTAATATCATATTACCAAACTCAAACCTCGCTTAATCGCTAGTCTAGTAAGTGAAATCCATCCCCATCCTGTCCCATTTAGTTGGCTGTCACAACCGTAATTGTGATAGACGTTTGGTTTTTCTCTCTTCGGTGATGCACGTTATTATGTCTGAAGGTCTCACCTATCTCATCCCATTCCCTCGTCTTTCGAAGCTCCAAATTTTGGCAACACATGGTTTGGATGTCCCGTTTGACTGCTATCCACTTCTGGCTTGCGATCTGCATCCAAACAGATCGCCAAGAAGACAAAAAGCCTGAAGCCTTACATCGGCTTTGCCCCACCTCTAGGTATTCCCTGGCCAACATGAAAAAATTCCACTGCCTCAAGGATTGCACAGCCCAACCCGAGGACCATGAATACGAGGTTCATTATGGGGCTGTCCAAAAACTGAAGTAAATGGGCTGATGACGGTACAGCACTGTCACACTCAGTTTAAAGGCACACCCGCAAGTGTTCCCTTTCTACTCTCGAACGTACCTCCCGCCGATTTGTTCAATTAACTGCAAGTAAGAACAAACTCTTTGCCTGGTCTGAGCTGCCCAAGGGCGCTTTCAATCTAATCTGCTGAAACCTATATTCGTGTTTAACCATATCGGTGAACCTTCCGTCTGGGCTCTCCACGGAGTTAATAATTTGATGTACAAATCGCTTTCCTAATTGTGTGTTCACACAAACTCGCTCTTCCAAGGAGCTGTTACGCCCGACTCCACCATAGCAGCGTCATTACTGAATCTCTGCAGTTTCACTGTGCGCCATGAGTCTGAGATCACTGCAACCATTTATCTACACTGATAGTCCCTCCGCTTCACCATTCCCACATACACCCTTTGTAACGCTGGCCATAAGTCCAACAGTCCAAGGCCACGAGGCTTTCGTGGTGGTTTTAGATCCTATTTCATATTAACCTGCTGGATTAAGTTAGCTTTGCTGCTTCACCAAAATCGAGTCTCTGGTATCTCATTTTCAGAAATTTGTAACTCTGTTGTCATATGTCAGGCACGATGCCTCCTGTTTTGCCCTCGCTTGTTTAGTTTTTGCCCTCCGCCTTTAAATTCTTAGGCCTATATAGGATAATGCTCACCGTTCATGACACTAGGTATTTTCCACAAGATCCTCTGTGCCTACAACCCCCGCCAGTTATGCTTTTATTCTGACCGAAAATTTTGGCCATGCTTAACGGTATGCCACCCACCAGTTAGGAATAAACATTGCTATTACTACTACTATTATTATTCACTGTATGCGGCAGAGCAAACAAGCAGGAACAGACAACTTCTTTTCTTTAAATTTCTTTCTTTTTCCCAACTGCCACGAGGCTTCGTGGTGGTTTTAGATCCTATTTCATATTAACCTGCTGGATTAAGTTAGCTTTGCTGCTTCACCAAAATCGAGTCTCTGGTATCTCATTTTCAGAAATTTGTAACTCTGTTGTCATATGTCAGGCACGATGCCTCCTGTTTTGCCCTCGCTTGTTTAGTTTTTGCCCTCCGCCTTTAAATTCTTAGGCCTATATAGGATAATGCTCACCGTTCATGACACTAGGTATTTTCCACAAGATCCTCTGTGCCTACAACCCCCGCCAGTTATGCTTTTATTCTGACCGAAAATTTTGACCATGCTTAACGGTATGCCACCCACCAGTTAGGAATAAACATTGCTATTACTACTACTATTATTATTCACTGTATGCGGCAGAGCAAACAAGCAGGAACAGACAACTTCTTTTCTTTAAATTTCTTTCTTTTTCCCAACTTTTCCTCTGTTTCACCTGCTGGTCACCATGGTTTGAAAATTACCAGCAGTGAGTAGGTCAGACAGGTAACCCCGAAATTGTTTTTTTGCACGCCTCCAATCAACGGTAGCTTTACATTCTATTTTCACCCCAAGGTCTTCTATCCTTATTACTGCCCAGAAGTAAAACGACCTCAAGGAAGTTGCCCGGCAAAGTACGCCAGCGCACAAACGTCATCCCTGGTACCTGGACATTGCTACAGCCTCAGAACCTGAACGTGGTGCACAAACATCATGCTAGGACATAAGGTAAACGATCCTTTAGGTGCATAATTCTACGCAATTTGGATAGTAGTGTACTTTTTGGAATTTTTATAGCCCCCAGCTTAAAGAGTACTTAGTACCCATAAACCATTATATCGCAGCATTTTGGCCGCCTTCCAAGTGTACCGGGTGACAAACCGATCGCTCTTTACTCATGGTTTCAACTGCAAAACGAACATTTTAGTCCCGATCCCGTTTCATCTAGAACCAACCACCCTTTTATTAACCAAAAGTTTCTCGTATACATTCCTAGCAGCACAAACACAACTCTCTTCCGTTCAGCCAGGGCTTATCCAGGTTTAGCAAGCACTGTCACACTTTTTGGCATTTATCCACTACTGCGCAATGAGGACAAGTCCGTTGAGCCTGCTTACCTCCTCATGCACATGGCATGCTTATGTTGCTGCAATCAACGAGTAAGTTCCTCATTTCAGACAATTCGGTAGAAAAAAGGTCGTAACGAGCAAGCTTCATCTTCGAGTGGCGCGTAATACCAGAACCTCCCGGAAGGCGAGCGAAAGTCGGAGCTGGGTTTCTACACGGTGCTATTAATGTAAGACAAACCTCAACGGCAGATACTCGTCCAAAAAATGGTCCACTTTGACCATAAAAGTACGAACCAAAGGGGCATATAGGCTCCCACGAGAGACAGTTACACGTGCACAAAGTCGGTCACAAATGGCCTGATGACCTCAAGGCCAAATGAGTGGAGTGGTAAGGACAAACAAATGTCAGTTCATATACACACACTTAACACAAAAGTTGAGCGTTGTTTACAAATAGACACAGAATAAACGTGGGGAATTTCAATGGTCAACGTAATGGATGATACAGGTTCACTCAGCGGAGCCGACTGTGATCAAGCAGCTTGGTGGTCATTATTCCTCCACCTGTGGTAACAACACTAGATCAATTTTCCACACTCACGATGTTTTATCTGACATGAGACTTGGTTGCGCATTCGCCAATAAGCTGTATTCTAACATCTGCAACCGATGAATTTGGAGTCGTCCGCCTAAACCAGCTGCATACTTGATTAAGCGCAAAGCTATCCGAGCAGAAATTATTAACCATAGATTTTGGAAATAGTTAGATACATGACAACACTATTTGGTCGTGGAGTTACACTTTAAGACTCCGTGCATTATGTACACCATGCAAGTGCTCGAAGACAACGATTTAAGGAATAATGTTGCCAATAATTATTCAACCACAAGTTCTACATGTAATCAGGATTTTTCCACTTTGATCCCAGGCACTCTCAGCATTACAGTCAAATCGTACGGCGTCGTTTAGGACAGGACATTACAAAAGCATCGTTCAATACCTGTCATCCGCCTACGTTCATAAGCATAAGAAGAGTTATACGCTCACCTGAATTTTCATCTTGCTCTAAAGCCCCCCCTGCGTAAAACATTCATGCCGAAATGCCGTCACTTTAGAGAAAAGTTATTATGACACGATTTCTTCAATGACTTTCCAAAATGTGCGAAGCAAATAGCACTGTGAAGGAACTCTTACACTCTCTATGTGGTCATGCACAACGCCAAATGATATCCAAGCACTCTACTGCCGAAGAAGTGTAAAAAATGTAAGCGGATATGGAGGTGCGAGGACTTTTAGTGCCGGGCGTAGTTTTAGCACTCAAAAAGCTCCAAAGCAGTCGCAATGAGGCAATATGTGGCTGCCGGCAGAACGAATGTAACCAACTGGGGTGATCTCTCTCGCCTTAACGATGACAGTTTTAGGGCATGCCAAGAACTGATTTCCCGTCATCTGATCAACACATATGCTTTAGAGAAGAAGAGCTTTAACAAACGGATTATCAGCCAGTTTGGTTTAAGAAGCCTTTACCGGTTTCACCAATGGCACTTAGTATTGGAGAATTGAATGGCAGGTGGTTAGTTCAATGTCTTCTTGTTTGCCACCAAAAGTTCACAAAACAGCCTGGCTTAGCTGCGGCCTTGAGGCAGATGGCAGAAACTAAATGCTAGGACAAATCCGCGCATCATGCCAAGCGAGCATAACTTTTCATTGGGATAAAATCCTGTAGCATCAAAACTCGACTTGTTGGTGTCCGCGTGGTCCGCGTCTTGCACTCGGAAAGGCAAATATAGATTGCTGCCAACAAATGGATACTCGAATTTTCAAAAGTGTTTAGGTAACTACGCCGAACATGCCGGTAGAGCGCATACAAAGTGACTCGAAGTTTCCATATTCTCAGACGAAGAACCAGTTGCGATGCCAACGAAAACCACTCCGCATTCTAGCTGAGGAGACCTGCCGGTCACCCGACAAGGGTCACAATGAAGCCACTGCTTTGTTCTACCAGTAATAGACTCGCAAAACCTTTCAGTATTATTTGTTTGTTAGCACGTACTGAGCCATGGACATTTTTATCAATATTCGCCGTTTCAGAACCCCCCGAAAATGCATTTATAAGAAGCAGAGAGCTCAAAGGCATTCTTAACACTACTGGGTATTCTTGAGAGCCAAAATGAACTAACCTGCGCTTCCTGCATCATTCCTATCCTTCGTTGTTACGGCACAACGCGCCGCGCTATATAAAAGCGTTCAATGTTGCACGACAATTCAAAGGAACGTTCAGTTACGTCCAAATGCCCGTTTGAAGTTTACAGATCAGAAGGAGATGCCTTCTTTTTCAGAAAGAAATATCTTCAGGCGATATCATGTTACTCGCAGGTAATTTTATCACCAGGCTGTGTAAATCTATGGTCATAAATTTTTTAACCGTTTGAAGGCTCTGGAGAAAAAAGACCGCGATGTCCATTGCCTGTTGCGACGTTCTTTTTGTTACATGTCCCGGGGAGACTTCGACAAAGCGTTTGAAGACGCGGAACTGGCGCTAAAATTGGAACCAAGGTTTCACAAAGTTTGTGTATTTTCCCGTTGTTGTTATTGTTAAATGATTCTAGGCTCTGTTTCAAAAAGCGGAGGTGCTGTATAACCGGGGAGATTTTGAGTTTGCTCTTCTTCACTACCATCAGGGCTACAAAAAACGTCCGGAAATCCAAGAATTTCGCTTGGGTGTACAAAAGTGCGAAGAAGCCATACAAAATGCCTTGGGACGTAAGCGCTGAGGATATTTTGGTCAATCGCTTGATTATCGGTGTATTCTTAACCCACAGTCTGTGTTCTTTTCAACTTATAATTGAAATGTGTGGTCTGTAAAGATAAATGACAAATGACCGAAAGGGACTGTCACATAGTTCGCCGTGCATGCCAATATCAAATACGCCCGTCAGTTGTGATATCTTGCTGGAGAGGAAATCGTGTGTGCTGTTCTGCTTTCTCTATCCACAGTACATACCAAGGATGAACAGTGGTTTATACTTAGCGATACATGTCTACAAGTAATAGGCCACAGATGCCTCTTCGCACAACCGTCCGGACACGTTTCATAAAATTCAGTTATTGTGGCTTCTATTTCAAACCCATGCGAGATTACGTGCCGTCAGTCACTGCTGTAATGCTGTACAGGGTTGGAGTGGGTAGCGAAGTGCTTGCGTCCTTCGGTCAGGTTTTTCAGCAATAGGGTGAAACCAAAAAGGAATATACTAACCAGCTGGGTGAAAGCAGCTGATTATAGCATGGTTATTCTGGGGATAAATTATGTTTTTAGGTGTACACTGACACTGATGCTTTCGTTGACACCAAAGCATGGCAGATGCATTGGGTATCAGAAGCATCAGTGAGGAGAGCTTACAAACATTCCTCGGATCGAGGAGACACTGGTGTGGAAATCTAAAGAGGCAGTGACTTACAGTTGTTTCCAGCATCATCCAGGTGACAGTTTACTCCACTGGTGATTTCGTTTCACTTATTTGTAATCCGAGTAAGAATGTGTGCTAGCAGGGAAGTTTGCATAAGCATCAGTGGCACTATCTCGAACAATCGAATGTAAAGTCATCATCCTCATGGACAACATGACATCGGTGTCCACAACTGATGCTTTGCTGCCGTACAACCATGGTTTATTTGAAGGCCTTATTGTGAAGAAAAGAAAAAAATTGGGTTGAGAGAGACTTAGCGCTAGCTCAATGCAAACACTGCGAGGTGCATACGACTCCAGACATTCATTCAAACAATCTGGATATTGACTGGCAACAAGAACGCTACTGAACTGGTTTGCAGCTACATCTTGAAGCGTCTCTAACCAGGCGAATCAGGGACAAATGTAAGGTAAAAAATTACAGACACTATTGTTTTACGTAGTCTAAGCTTATGCATTTTACATTCAGTCATGTACTTTGTTTATTTTCTTCTCATTTCTATAAAAAAATGATATTGGCGTCAGTTATGCGCCGACCGGTCCCTGAAATCTCAATGCTATGCCATCATTTTTTTCAAAGTTTGAAGTATGCAGTTCAGCTGTCACATATAGCTTTTATCGTAAAATTTAACCTTGGCTTACCGTATACATGAGACCTTCAGCCTTTTATTTTGTTTCACTAACGGTCGAGAAAGACAGCAGACATAAATGCTTCAATTTTGTGTTTCGGAAAAAGGCCATCGACTATCTTACCTAGTTAAGTAAAACCAGTTTGACTCTTTGCGTGTACGACAGGTTAAGAAGTTTTCCAAGACCTTCCGATGCTTTCCTCAAATTGCAGATAGAGGGTAAACATCTGAGAGTTTACATCTCTATGCAATTTATTCAGTCAATGAGGTCCTCACTAATCAATGAAAGATCATATTTGCCGAAGGTACGTGGTTTGATCCCACTGATACAAACCCTCGGAGGTTACAAAATCAGCGCCAGACGTTTTAAAATAATTTTTCGTTGTTATCTAAAGAATTAACTGCAACAAAAGCGTAGGAATCAGCAGAATACTCCCACAAATACTTGCATGTATCTACTGTCTCTTCCCACCAGCTATAAGCAATCAGCTGCATTTTGTCAGTATGTGCGAATATGAGTGACAATGAAAAGTCTCTTACGGTGTGATGTATAGTTAAGGATAAACCAAGCCATCAACAAGCATATCTTACCAACGATTATGTTTGTTCAGTATTTGTGTGTCCAGAATTTGGACCAGGCGGGACTTCGGAGTGCAGTTAGCAGTGCGATGAGAAGCTAATTTGTGGGACACGACAACCCATCAAACATCACAGACAAGTCTTCTTGTCTTGGATGAAATATCAGTAAACGCTGTTTTTAATTTGAGTTTAAGTCACGATAAGTTTAGCACACCAAAATACCAGCTGATTAATTTATTCTACTTAGTTCAGTTGACCTGCAGTTGTTCAACAATAAGCAATTAGTGTACAATGGACACGAGTCATCGTATTTTGAAAAGAAAACAGTGAGTAAATCGCATATTGTTCGGTCCTCGATAAACACTGTACCCGTTCCGCACCAGAACCACGCACGAAATTTGCAACGCGGCAGCAGGCACTCTACTGAGTGTTCCTTGTGAATTTTAAACAGAATTTAGTACTTTTCTTTCATTTTTTTGTTTAATCCGAAATTGGCTGGATATTTTTGAGGTTGTGCGGCCTTTTAGTTTACTGCCGATGCAATTTTAAATAACATGATTTGGGTTCAAGAAGACTTTTTTCTATACCAGCCGCATTCTCTGCAGAGATGCGACATTCTTGCCCACTTTTAATAGAGTGATGCTAGAAGTCACCCATTCTAATAATTTTGAGGGATCCGGGTTTTTTTCACCAACCAAAGTGCCGATAGCAGGCTTAACCTTTTTGTATGCATTCCAAGGCAGCAGGTGGAAAATCAGATTCCTGGTAACTCACCTTCAAGCAGTTGAGATGTCCGTGCAGCCAGTCAATGAAGAAAAAAGAGAAATAAATCTGTTGAACTTATCCGTTTCGGTAAACTCAGAAACAGTAAAGGATATATTTTGTGCCTAATTTGCTCTCCAAAGAATCCTAGAATAAGTAGACCGTTGTCTGGTCTAAAAACTTGCACACTACAAAGTTTATGTTTGCTGAGTCGCGGACTTAAATTTACTAATTTTCAAGAAATTTGATAACAACGATGTTATAATGACATTTTTGGCATCAAAATGGGGAAAAGTAGTGAATTCTGTTTTATAAAAGTACACCACCGGAATTGAGTCCAAAGTTACGAAGTGTTTACTTTTGTGAACATTTTGCCACATAAAGACTGTGCCTGGGTATTAAGAAAGATAAAGCATTTGGTGTAGAGTTACGTGCTCCCGAGGTTTTTCTAACGGCTACTGTAAACTATCTGTGCAATAAAAGGTTCAGTAACAACATGGCCTTATTGTATGATATTTAAATTTTAGAAGGCGATGATTCAGTAAATGGTCCACCAAAAAATAAATAGCTTTAGATTTCTCTTCTGGTTTATTTCGTCTGTCAGTTACGCACAGATGTGCGAAAAATTTCCATCTAGAAACTTTAAAAACTCACTGTGGTTTGGAGTCTTGCAAAGCTGGCCCACTCACTTGACGATAATGAAAGATTTGCATCCTGCAGATATTCGACCAACAATCATATAAACCTAAAGGTCACATTCTAAAATAGTATAAGGCTTAAATGTTTCAGCGTTGGTGTGGTCTATTGGTTAGATATTTACTTTTGTGCCACCTTTTGGAGGATTTGAGCAGTTAAGATCACGGGACCCCACGTCTTCGTTTAGAAGAAATGTTTGGCAAGATGTTTAAAAGACCCCTTCGTAGTGAACTTAGCTCTCTAAAAACAATGAAAATAAACAAACGCATGATAACTGTGTGAGTTTAATATCTGACATGCAGGACTGTTCTACCGGTCACATTTTTGCCACCAAGCGAGATGTCTTGATGCGTCTTTCGTGTTGAATAAATCAACAGGGAAAAGTTTATGCAAAATATTTGCGTAACTTATGGTTACTACTATACGTAACAGATAACGGATGGCATTTAGCATTCTGAATCATTGTTTGCCGAAGGAATTCCTGTTTTTTAGTCAAATTTAGAATAGAAAAGTCAAAGATGTGGCCATCCCTTGACCTGGCGTAGGGGTGTGAAAGATTTTACAAAACGTCTTGGTGCTTTTGATGCGACTCGCCTTCAGGGCTTGGGTCCACATAATTTTCACTGTGTCTGAGAGTCAACGTTGTTGGCGCTGTTGTCATCAGTTTCTGTCCAGTCTTCCTGAATGAGTATCTGAAGCTGTGTACATTTCAATATAATTGTGATTGGGTGTGACTAATTCCCTCTCACATAGACTTTTATTCTTTTCTTAACAGTAAGTCTTTCACGTAAAATATACTTTTACGGAAACGGAGCATCGATGTTAAACAAATGTGTTATGCTGTCAATGCTGATCTTCTTTTAACTACATAAGGAGCAAAAATTGCCTCTTTGAGCATAAGCAACATGTGATGAGGCTCCAAATAAGTCTCAAGTTTGTTTGATAACAGTTATCACTGCGACGGTAACTGTACGCTGCAAACGAAAGCCAGATTTGTGTAAACATAAGTGTCGTTTTGTTCTAAAGGCAATATAAAGTTCAAATGTGGAGCAAGCCTCTAACGTAGAAATCTTTCCTCTTTGTATTTATTCATTACTGAATTTCGTTGTATGCTTTTGATGATCTCTTCCTTGTACTACTAGACTAAGGTTTGGGAGCACATTTTAAAGATTTTAAGTACTATTTCACAGAATCGACCTTCTTTATAGGCACAAGAACTCAAATGGACAATCGTAGCGGCGCTCATCAGATCAGCTAATCCATGGAAATTACCTAGAAATTCCTTACAGTAAAGTTGAAGTTGCTGTTTTGAAGCCCAGCAGTGCGAACTTCAATTGCAAACTGTATCAGCTCTTTTTTTATGGCGTCCTGATTTGCACACTCGCATCAATTTTTAGGCAGTTTTCTCTTAGCTCCATCCTTAAAAGCTTCGTGTTGTTTTTGTTTTCCAATTTTTTTATCTGCACTCGCCATTATCTACCTTTTTATAGAGTAGGGATGTTCACTATCACTGGAAGAGCTTTAGTTTATGAAATATCAGTGCACACTACTACTTCAGTCGTGTATCGCACTTCTCCTCAAGAGTCGCATGCTTGCTTCGTATTTTACTCCACGTTGTTTTGCGTCTTGGTATCTTGGTGATAAGATCCTTGCACGTAGAAGGTGTCAGTGTTTGAGCTGCCGTTGTTTGTTGTACTGTGTGTCTGGCACATCTGGTTGCAATGACAATTCCCTAATTTGAAGCGCAAAATTCACGGTGAAAAAACAAGCATCGTCTGTGTTTTCCTCGAGATAAAGCACGTAGCACAGTTGTCCCTTATCCGATAACTGCGAATGTTTTCAGGTTACACTGCTGGAAAGACTCTCTTCTGCGGTGTTTATTTCGTGCTTACAGGTCAGCCCCTTTTGAAGCAGGTCGTCTGGCGGATATACAGTGATCGTTCTAAAGCTAACCAGGAGGTAACATTGAAACTAAGTGGGAGACCTCCTCGACATAAAGCGCATGTGTTATTTCTCTCCTGGATTTAGGAGTTATTTGGAAAATTGTACTGCTTTTACTTTGAATATTTTGTTTTTACAGTATGCTTACTTTGTGGTTGGTTTTCTTATCGTTCACCCATTGGACTCACGTTCCGTGAAGGATTTTCCAGAGGGATATAACTTCAAAAGCATCAAAAAATTTAGGGAAAAAGACTGAAATAGCTGTTGAGTCGGTAGATGTTTCTAAAAAACCGTTTTCTTGTGCAGGGTTTATTGCACTAGTTTTTTGAAATCGCTAAAAATTTTAATCACCGTTAGCCAATGAACCTCAATGATAAATGGTCCCTGAGTCTTTATGGAACTAAGCATCTAGTCAGGATCCAATCATCTAACTCCATGAACTTGGATAGTTATGTTTGTCCAACTTTAGTGCAATTATGTTATGCATTAGTAGTTACAGATCACGCGCTTCATATGTGGAAAAGTCTGTCCAAAAAACAATATGTGAGCATTTAGGTACCTTCATTTGTAACACATTTCAAGTCGCTGTAGACCAGTTTAGTGCTGATTTCGGCATCTCACTTCACATGAGTGGTCCGGTTCAGTGTGAATCCTAACTTTCATCTGCACGACCGGATCAAACTTAGATGATGATAGGCAGTTGGATCGTATCACGTCTTTCGTCAATGACTTCTTTTTTCTTGTGCCTTGCCACCTGGCCCAGTTGACGTTTTCCAGTTTTGAATCTAATCTCTCAACCAGCTGCAGAAGCTCTGCCTCTATCATTTCTCTTTGAACGAAAGTTGCTACGGACTAAAAGGTGTGGTAATGCCTTCAGCTATTTGAATGCATGGGTGAACAGTTTTTTAGCGCGGTTTTCAGGTCTTGAGCATCAAAAACCTAGTGTGGCTTTGGAAGCGTGTATTGTGCATGGCGAATTACAGCGATTTGTCATAAACCCTCTGGTAGTGAATTAGGCAGACTATCAACTTTTAGAAGGACCGAACTCACAGACAATCGGGATTGAGTGGGGCTCACCAGGAAGCCATGCTATGCTTGGACTCGAACATCAAAGGCTTCAAAAGGGTTTCAAGAAACCATCCTCTTTCTACTATATAAACTTCAAGTAAATAAAACGGAATGCTGCTCTTTAAGAAACTGTAGATGAAGCAAACATGTCTTTACTCTAATTCTTTTATCCTGCGACAGAAAGCTTGGTCAACTGCATAAGTCTGTTGACTTGCGGCTGGGTTAGCTGGGTTTGAATCTCCATCATCACGGTCAAATTTACAGCCGATTTCTATCCTCATAGAACATTACGTTTTGCTACTATTAAAAATACGGCAAGACACTTGAACAACACTTAAACCCTATTACGGACGAATGAAGGCTTCTTCTTTGGGACCCGTAAAATCAGGTTAGTGCTTATACAAAGTGTTACGCATCTGTTGGTACGACAATACTCGGAACGTTTTCTACCACGATTTCAAAAGCAAGTCGATGACAATCGGCAATTTAACCAAAACCACGGGATAAATCAGCGCAAAACACTTATCCAAGGAGGTGGAAAACCATGCCCAGAAGAAATTAGCGTGTTAAATCCTGATATCACTGAGAAAAGGATAGAATATACTGCAGAAGCCGTTTGCGTGGAGAAAGAACTGGCTTTCCTGCTGTGTAGACTCATCAAGACCGTGACACATATCATGGAGTGGATAAAATAACCAGCCGATGTGTGAACAGGGTCTTCTTAACTGAAACTAATACTAGTAGAAAACAATAGGTAAAAGGGCTGGCATTCAAACAAAAACCGACTCACTAGTGGGGCAGTGACGTGTGCAGTAGAATCTATGTTTTATAGCTAAGCAGCTTAGCTGAGTTTCTCCAACTCATAATCTGATGCCCCGTTGCTTTTAAAGTCCACAGCGTTGGGGAAATCTATTCAGCTCGTTATCATCACATTTTTCAGTATGCTTGATTATGATTCACTAATGTTCGCGAAAAAGAATCCGAATGTTCGGATTCAGTTACAAACTCTACTTTTGACAAACATTTTATACGTGAATTCCGCTCCACTGTTGAAGATCATCTGTTCTTCATCAAAGTACATGCCTACATCCTAAGGTTGCATTTTCCTGAAAAGGAATGTTTCGTTTTTTCTACTTGATAACTGTAATTTAGATTTCTTCAAGGACTTAATTTCCCGTGTTCATATAAGCTTGCATTTTGGTTTGTACAATGAGTTCCTGTACTCTGTGTTTGACTGGTGCGTTTAATGACCAGGCAGAGCCCAGTAGACACGCATTATAGAAACGTCTCATTGTGCTGGTTTGGCAGAAATCTGGATTCCACCAACAGGATGTGAGAATCTTTTGACAAAAGACTGTCACCTGCCCAAACTTGAGGCTAAAGAAGTTCCGTTAGGATCTTTCGAAAATTACTTATTGCACACATGTTTTGCTTTTCGCCCTTAATAAACAAACGCTGCACTAAAAGGAGACCAATTAGTTCACAGTTTACTTCTTGATATGTTCTCACCTTCAGAGAAGACTTTTCCACATATGAAAAGAAGCAAAGTGAAGTCTACCTCGGAAGAAAGCATGGGGGTAAGTGACAATGTGAAATAAAATGATGTAAAGTAGGACGGCCCTGTTTCTGGCAAAGAAGAATAAGTAAGCAATATTGCTAGATTAAAAATTAGATGTTTTTGAAACGGAAATGTCATATCCACGAACTCTTCTGGAATACTATTTTCCGAATGCGCAAAGAGATGCTAAGACCTTAGTGAGAAGTTCAACAGAGTTCAAACATCCACGTGACAGGTATAATCTGGTATATAGTTTTTATGATCTCAGTGGAGTGTAAAGATGTCAAGGGTTTTCCTCATTTCTATTTGTGACACCAGCATAGTTATTTCATAATTCTGACGAACGTCATGAGGATCAAGAAACACATAGTTAAGGATAACGGGGGTGGAAAATTTTGGGCCAAATGCTCAAGTGACAATGCCATTATGATCAAACATTTGTTTGATAGGCAGACCCACTGTTTGAGGGCTGAGTGTATGATGGTTCTAGGAAACTTTGAATAAATCCACCTGGTGTACTGACAAACGGGTTTATCGGTTTGCAACATGTGTAAGCTCAAATCCCGCTAAAAGGTATGGATATGTATGCTGACGGATAGATGTAGGCAACGCAAACTAGAGTAAATAACCAATCACTTGATTGTAGACTGTCTCCACTCTTTATTGGATGTTGATCAGATGGCTGTTGATCTGTTCGCCGAGGTTGGCAATTGGCTTGCAAACGTTTCGTCACCATACGAGGAGACATCATCAGTGCGCAGTTGGGTGGGTCTTCACTCTTTGCTTAATGATGAGTTTCTGAAAGAAAAATAGCTACAAGAAGGCCAGGTGGACCCTAAACTAGATGTCTATTACGTGGTTCTGTATTCTTAGGGTGCCATTATTCTGCAGGCTGAACAAAGAATTGGCTTCACATTACAGACTTTTAAGGGTACTAGAATTCTAGATCATGTGCACTGAAAGTAGTGACTACATCCTCCATCGTAGACAGCACAATTCATAAGGATATTGAGAATGTCCACACAGAGCTTAGATTTCGTGATCGATGAGAGGAGGAGGCGTTGGAAATGTTTTTCCTTGACTGTTCCTTCGAAAAACAACAAAAACTCCCATCTTATGAGATATTATGGTCAAAAAACAAATTGGTTACGCCTTTTGAACAGCACCTAGTACATATATACTACTTTTTCCTGTAACCCGCTTTAGGAAGATACAAGTCGTCCATCTGAAAAGAGCAACAAGAAGGCCGACTCTCATTCAAATCAAGATATTCTATTGCATCTTCTTCCCAAAGACAAGGCTCGACGTGCATTCGGCTTCTTGCAGGATGACCATGAGTATTTGAAGAACTTTCTGAAACAAGAAAGTGGGTTATTTGTGTTTAAATTGTTCTCACGACGTAAACATTAAAACGAGAGTGATTAAAAAAGGCTGCTTTGTAGTCAGAACAGCGTGAAACATGCCTTAACTGACTCAGCGGCAGGGGACTGGGATTCATATTTTTCTCTAGAACAAATTCTTTTCATAGAAATGTCATCAATTCTTTTGCGTTCTATCTATATCAGGCCGCATGAAATTAGCTCGCTGCCAACCTACTGCTGCACTTTTGAGTAATCTGCAATTCTGATATTGAATCTAGCCACTTTGAAGATTCCCGGTGATATGGATCTACTGAGGTTGGAAAATACCATTTTTCGCAACAATAGACTTGGTTCTATCTCATTCATTTCGACCTGTTCTCAATGAACCATGGTGACAGAATTAGCTTGTACGCTTTTAAGGCATACAAAATATTGGCTTAGTATTTATATGGGTTGCTTCTTCTGATTGCTCTTGTATGTACTCCAGGCCAAAGAGCACAGATGAACACGGACACTGACTGTTTGAAAAGTTTTTTTTTCTAGTCCGAATACAAGTTCCCAGTTTAGAATGCTCCCAACAAATTGTGAGCAAGGGAAACTAATGAAAGCCACCTACTGTTGACGGAGTAAACGCTGGGACCTCAGTATGCTTCCTTGGTGAGAGATCTCCCCTGAAACGAGTCACCACAGAACTGGGTATGTTCATCCATAGGAAGAAATCCTGTTACTGGCCGTACGGGCAATCATTACTGAACAGTTGTCTACCGAGTAACTTTTCAGTAGTGTTTATATAAGAAGTGTGTACACGGAGGCACAGGTATGAATGTCAATCAAGTAGGTCATTTGTCGGTTATCTGAGTCTCTTGGGGATCTAACAGTCAGGGCCATTCAACATATAATACAGAAAACGCATTTCGAATTGGTGATGTTCACTTTCTTGGAAGACATCTCAGTCCATTCAATGGAAGACTTCCAGTGAAGAGAAGAACACGACGTCAGGGCAACTAACTTACCTACAGCGAAAGTTCTGGATAAGTTGATTGTCGAATATTCACTTTAAACTTCTGAGTAAGAACCGCCAGTGATAACTTCATTGACATTGGTTAGCAACTAGGAATCGCGGTACGCTCAGGCGGGAGAAGAAAGGGTTAGGTAGGCCTAATCCTCCCAATAACCATAACCAATAGCTTTCTAATTCGTAAAAATTACTCATCTGACAGTTTGATTTAAAAGAATATTATTTGCCAATCGGTGAGGGGTACGAAGGAAACAGAATCCCATTCAAATTGATGAAATGTTGCCTTGCACCGACACTGGGCTGTCGATGATAACGACGATGAATCCTTGGAGTCAAACCGTGAATGACAGGATTCCATTCTTTTGGTAATCTCCCATTATCCGTTCCAAATCAGACAATATCCATTCCTTGGTTCATACCACTCGTACTATGGCAGGGGATAACAAAGACATTCTCGGTATAGAGTAACCCAATCCGTGTACCACATGAGTGAGCCATCACTCTACGACAAGTACGCGGTTATTACAGTGATGATGATGATGATGATGATGATGATGATGAGTGAACCATCAAACATCATGGTTTTGGATGCATCTCACAGGTGGTATGCTACTGTCTGTCCAACCGTTTGTTTGCTCCACCCGTTTGTGACGAAATCTGTGGTTGGTTTATGACTTCACATAAACGTAAGATGTAACATTAAGTTACGCGCAGGTGCTGTCGTATAAGGATGCCTTTCTAGTAATCGAAGCGCTAATTTCTTGTTCCCAAATTAAACCCATTAACTTCAATGGTTGGAACTGTGGCTTTCTCCAAGTTGTAACGTGTGATTTCTGACCGCTTTTTTGTTTGGTTATATATGTATAAAAACAGAATCCGCCGAAAGCTACTTGGTGTTTTCATTATTTTCGCCTAACTTTCCAGTGAACACTTTAATTGGGGCACACGGATGGACAAAACATTCTATTCTGACCAAGACTTGAAGTCGAATTACATATTGATTTCAATCGTCTAGGAAGTATTCACTGTACTTGACAATGTCCATGTAACGGTATCTCCTTTAGCGTATCCGTTCGACTGTTATTATCATCTGTGATATCCACTATGTTTCAGGAAGTTACCGAGTTGAACGTGGACTTTGCGATGTCTTGTCCGCTGAAAATGAAAGCACTTTATTTCTCTGTGCTTCACTATTTTCTACACGGAAAATCTGTTAGCTCTCATTGCTGGGAATATGGGGACAATAAGACTGAATTCCCCATCACACTGTCGAATTTACACAACGGATTAATCACCGGTACGCCGGCTTAACGTGAATATGCTCTTTTTTCTTAGTGTTTAAGTAATGGGGCATTCAACTATAACGCCGGCTGGGTATCATCCAGGATTTACTCCCCACTGGAAATACCAGAATAATATAGATATACGGTGTAAACCACGTCTTTCACATCGTGTAGATGCTTAAACTGCAAGATGTTAAATTTCATTCTCTTGATAGCCCGATTAAGCTTAAGGTTAACCAATAAAGATCGATGTAATTTTATAGAAAATGCTTGATATCTTCTATACCTAGGTCATGGTTGCCTTGTAATATTTCAACACTTGTCCGCAGTGGTACGCATCAGACTCACTGTTGGTTGATTCTCAAACGGCATTAAATACAGCCCCACAAATGCTGAAGTTTTGCTCGATTATCCAAGCGTGTTGCTTGTGTTGCTTATCACTATCGTCGTCATTGTCAGCACTGTCATCAGCACTAAAATTAACATTACCCTAAACGCCATCCTTAGCACCATCAGTATCGTCAGTAACGACAGTAACAATATAATTTGTCTGAAAGTAATACAAAGGTTCCAGCTGTTACAGTTCTGTTCAGTAATGACAATTAAACGGAAACATGATGAAATGAACTACGTGTAGGCTGCTGGCACTTGACCTCCGTCTGTCCCCGATACCGATAGGTTTTTGGCCTTAAACATGCTTTACTCAGATATTCAATCGGTCATATGGGAAATAAGATTTGGTTGCAGTTCTGGGGGTTTGTGGGACAGGTATTTTGTTCACAGTCACGCCACTCTCGTCGTCCTCCCTTTCTGACGTAATTATTCCGGTGAGTTCACGCCAAAGGGAAGCACTGGACTCGAGTTTCGCTCTTATTAGAGCACTGTATATCCAATGGCCTTGCCGGGATTTGAACCCTGGACATCTGACATGCGAGGCGGGCGTGTAACCAAACGTTCAAACGAGAGTGGTGTGACTATGGACAAAATACCTTATCCGCAAAACCCCAAAACTGCATCCAAAAAGTTGTCCAGTGGGTTTCAAGCGTGTGTCACGCTAGCCGACTGGGAAGTCCTGATTGGTGGGTCAATCGATCATCACAACCAGGATACTTACTGGGTTGGGCGCACGAATCGCATCGCTCAAGTGTGAACACGTTCGCCTGTTCATATATGAAAATTCAGAGGCGTCCAACGTGCGCTGGTGGAGTATAGGTTCCGTTCATACCTCGCATGTCAGATATCCGGGGTTCGAATCCCGGCACGGCCATTAGATATGCACTACTCCAGTAGGAGCGAAACTTGACTCCAGTGCTTTCCTTTGGTGTGGACTCACCGGAATAATTACGCCAGAACAGGAGGACGACCGTTCAAACGAGTGTGACTATGAATGAATGGAATTCTGGCTTTTAGCTTGCGTATCTATGATGACCACCTGAAGCTGTTGCATGTGTAACACTACAAGGCTACAAATTCGACCTGTCACCACCGGTGATAACTGATACATTAGAAATGTCACAACAGGGAATATTTCGGAAGGCTGACACATGGGGGTGGTTGTTCTGGAACCAACATACATATACTATGGATGAAATCAGCTAAAAACAAACCCAAATATTCTTGTCTTAATGGATAGTCTCATCTATATTTCATTACATCGTCTTACAAAGCCACCTCTACTCCGCTGTTAGTTGTCTAATCACTGACTTTCTGGTTGTTTCTAAGCTGCGAATAAACCTGCAGTACCCTCACACGTAAAACGTTCTTTCGTTTTCACGTGTAGAATCCAAAAAGTGGAAAACCAAACGCTCAGACGAACTGAGTAAAATCGCCAACGATGGTCTGGACTATTTGGATATGCGGTCCAAGTTCTGGCAACAAGAGCAACCACTTTATGCTCGTTCTAAAGCAAGGTCGACAAAGAGCAGGACAACAAAAACGCAGAAGGACAAGGATCAAGGCAAAAATATCTGCAAGGTTCTTGAGAGACTCCACGAAATTGACCAGTGTAAGTGGTTTGACCAGTGAGTTTGACCAGAAAGAGTGGAACTGATTTTTAACACCCATGGAGGAATGAAAGTTAACAACTTGAGCGGGTATGATGGTGGAAACATTTTTACAGTTTGAGTTTACTATCCCATTCTTTTTTATTTCAATATAAAGTATTTTAAGCAATACTAATGGCATGACACAATTTGGCCTTGACTTTGGTGAACTCAGGAGCGTACTAAACGGTCAATGAAACATTTCTCTGCCGAAAATGCTGTAGTCTACAGTGTTTTACAATAACGTTTTGTCAGACTGTTCCAATCTTACTTGAAAACTGACGCTGACAAAGATTTTTTGTCTGCTTTCTGCTATCTGAGTAAAACTAACTACCTGGTGACGTGCCGCAATGGTGCCGATGGTACGATTAGATTAGTGGATCCTTTTGCCTGGCCTAAAGCGTGAAGGTTAACGGAATATCTCATCTATTTGAAAACTGGGATGGTGCTAACAGAAGATTTGAATGAATCTCAGCTGAGTGCTTCTTGTTACTTTTGAGAGCAAGATTATTGAAAAGTGGGAAAATCAGTGAAACTGATTAACCCAAAATTGAAGACCCCCACGCTGATTGTCGAAGCAGTGTGATGTCAAAGAAACTTTCCCTATTTTATTTACCCCTTTCCTAACTAACTACATTCTAAACGGCCATGTCATCTGCAAGCTATTGGTTACTTTTCCCAACGGCTACGACTCGAGATATTTCCTTGAATTGCAGTCCCGATGGAAGATAAGTAGGCTTCAAAAAGATCACTTATCCTCCTTCTTACTTGCTTACTTTACTTACTTACTTATTACTTACTTAACTAACTAACTACTTGCTTACTTACTCTCGTTGCTAGAAAGTGGTTTTCTGATATGAGCCGCTAGTCGACTAAGGACAGAATACCTTTAATCATGTGATTCACAATAAATAGGGGAAGAAATTTTGGCTGAGCAACGGGTGGACACCGGCATTTTTGACAAACGATCAAAAAGAAGTGGAAACGGTAAAATAAGTGATTCAAGCAAGAATGTCTGCATAGTGGTGACCAACACTTTTGGGCGAGTAACCTGCAGTTGCACGTACCCGTTGATTTTCACTGTACGAGAAAATAGTGGCAGAAGTTGACCGAAATTCAGAAAAATAAATGGCACTTCCTTAGCTGCTGTGCAATGTTCAGCAGTGGTGCCTCAAATCCCGGTCTTTCGTACGGTATTTCAGAGTTGACCAACATAGCGGTGCTTCGCTTCATCTGAGTTGTGCCGTCCTCCAGAACTGGAACTTGGTCAGTGTGCCGTCAGTCAGATTCGTCTAATAAGCCACTGAGCGAGCATTACTGCCTGCGTTGTTTTTACGGTCACGAGAATGTAAAAATAAATTGACTTTTATATCACCCTTGACCTTGGGTAAACAGGTCACACCTACCGAGTTGTTTCCCTTCCAGATCAACAAGCAGACGAACACGTGACCGCAATTCGTCTGGCGGAAGGCTTGCGTCGCGAAGTGGGTGAATGGACGGATGATGATTTCCCCAATCGCCTGGAGGTCCTGGCTAATGTGAATTCCATGTTAGGCATATCGCACCTGGAACTCACTCACTATGAGGCAGCTCTTGAAGCGCATGAGAGGGCTTACGAACTGGGAGAAAAGTGCAAACTCCCAGAAATTGTATCTCATTCACTGGATAATATTGGTCGCGTACACGCGAAGAAAGGTGATTATCAGGCAGCGATTGACGTGTAAGTCTATAGAGTTCTGATAGTGCTCGCGACTGATTGTCATTTCTTGACCCCACTTTCGATCGTAATTCGGTTTTATTTTTTATAAAGAAGCATAAGCATAAAGTCATAAATCTTGAGGTGTGACTGAACTATCTATACCTAGCTTTTTTACAGCCGCTTTCATTTATGTTTTTCTATGTCCGTCTGTTTGGCACTTTTAGCCAACCTTAGCCACTGAGTCTTCTCGAGTTCATTCCATTTTATATGTGCATATTGAAAATTCAGACGGGGGTTGAAGGGAATGGGAGATGTACAGTGAGTTGTAGAAAATATGATGTGTGACCGATGCTTTCTTCATTTCCATATTTGTTGTTCACTCTTTACGTAGGTGGTCAAAGAAACTCGCCGACTGCTCGGATAAATTCGAGCAGATCTGGTTACGTTACGAAATCGGTCGTTGTAATCTGGAGCTGCAACAGTCGGCGGAGGCTCTGGAACATGGTGATCACGCGCTGCAGTTGGCCAAAGAAGTGGGTGATGAGTCCTGGCAACTCAACCTGAACGTCCTCATCGGGCAAGCCAATCTGCATATGCAAAGAAATGCTGAGGCCCAAGTTGCCTTCACGAGAGCATATGATCTCGCTAAAGTGAGAAAACGGATTTTTGCTAATTCTACGTAAATAATTATAGACGCAGCTAATGTATTGAACAATAGCTCACAGTGGCTGAACTTTGCGTGGAAAGCGACTTTGGATATTTTGTTGATGGATGCTTCTCGTTCAGGGTCATCATTCCAGACAAATCATCTTCGACCAGAATACGGCCGGTTTCCAAGTAACAGACGGAACCTCGGACCCATTTTGCTGGACGACGCTATGAACAGCTAAGGCTGAAAATGAAATTTTATGTCTCTCGCTGGAGTGGAACGTAATCAAACTACTATCAGCACCTAAAACGATAATCAATCACAACAAGAATATATGGAATTACCCCGCTATCTTCTCAACATTTGTACTCACTTTTGCATCCCTTCGTTATGGTTTGCGGGCTAAGCTAAGGCTGGGCGCAGTCGACTTACAATCGTATATTGTACAGTACTTGTCATCAAAGGCAATGTTCCGCTGTCTTTCCTCTCTTCGAACCACAGCCTTTATGGTTATTTTCCGGAGCATTTACTTATATTCTACAAGTAGTAAAAGATTCATCATGGAAAAATAGGTCAACCAATGCTAAACAACCATGAAGCAGTGCTCTTGTTCTTTGTATTTGTTTGGTTCCACCAAAGCACTGTAGCCCCCCGGGTTCTAACTAAGCTCAAACACTGAAATAAATACCATTGGTGTTAAGGATTCTACCTGTTGATCGTAACTAGCAGTGTAGTGAACCCACGCTCCTCCCTCATAGGAATCAAAATCTTTTTCTTGTGAGAAGCCCAGAAACAAAGAACTGAGTTTTAGATGTAGCAGATTCATGATACGATTACTCACCAAATTATTTTGTCGATTTTGCTTACCGGAACGCAGTTTCACGTCATTCAGTACGAAAAACCATAGACAACAAGCTGCCAAAAATGCTGGACCTCATTGGGCAGTACATAGAACGTGGAAATTTTAGCTTGTCGCCATTTTTTCAACCAAAGGAGTGTTTCCTACAAGAATGTAAAATTTTATTATGTATATTATATATATATTATTATATATTAGACGCGTTCTGTGTGTAGAAGGGAAGTTTTTAAGATGAAAAGGAGAATCTGGAATAATACAGTTGAAACTGAATATTCAACTGTGCGTCCATTGTTGGACAGCTTTAGTCTTCGCTCACATACGACGTTTAACCATGTTGATTATCTTCTTCCCTTTTGAACGACTTTCCCAAACTTGAGATGAACTTCAATTTTAGCATGAGGCAAACAACCAGCACTGGAGTTCTGAACAATTCCTCTTCAACAGATAACTGAACAGACTGATTTCCGTATTAGTGTAAAGAGAGTGACAACGGAAACAGAATTTCTAACACAAGCTGACATATTACCTCGAACCAGAATTCTGGTAACTCATATCTGGAGAGGGTCACCAAAGTCATTTTGAACATTTAGACACGAAACATAATTCATCAAGTCAAGTCTATGGATAAAAAAGGACAGTTATCTTCCTAGATAAGATAGTTTCGACTAGAAAGTTCCTGTTTCTTGACTGTAAAACTAATTAACTGAATGATCTGCGTTACCTATACAGAATAGATTTCATCGGAGTCGCACTTTCACGACGGTTTAATTTGCACAAGTATTTGACTCCACAAAAGTACACGTTTAAACAATATTAATATGAATTCTAGTAATGGAAAATAATTTATTGATCATTCAGCTGCAACATCCTTTCGGTGCCTAGTTGCCATGCCACCCGAAAGAGACACGAGGGCCTAGGTACTATCATAATGCCCAAGCCTAGGTCTCCTTGGTAAACCTATAAATGGACAAAACCAGTAGTGACTTTTTTAAGAATCTTCATCAGCCTTTAGATGTATTAACATATTTGGGAAATTTCGCAACAAAATATGACGCCAAGGGGATATTGTGGAATAAGAGTCTTCTACTATTTACAAGATCAGTTGAATGCCCAAGAATATTCTGAACTAGCAGAAGGTTTGGAAGCGATCAAAATCAACAGCTATCTATGTATATATGCATAAAGAAGCGTGGTGTAGCTGAAACTTTGAAGCGGAAGACATACACCTGAAAGCACTTACACAGTATGAGTCCGAACAAATCCCAAAACTGAAGTCAAAACGTGCTAAATATTCCCTCCAGAATCCAAAAAGAACGAAACTATTTTTTAACTTAGAGCAGAGTCATATCATGGCTGAATTGTTCAGTCTTACAACGTTGGACTGATTTGGAGTTCGGCTTAACAACGATCTCTGACAATCCCCAATTGATTTCAAAGGATACTCTTTACCGATACATCACATTGCATTGGCTTTGTCCAGTAGGCCATGAGAACAGTCACGCAAGTCGCTGATATTATAATCAGGCGGAGCCACCTCAGGCCGTCTCCCCACGTCAATTAACTAATCCAATAATTTTTAATTATATTATATTATCAAGTAATTAGACAGTGTTAAGTACCTGCAATGCCATGATTTATTCGCATGCATTTCTCTAACACCTCGCAGACGCTGAAGGCTTCCGACGCTGAAAAGGCAATTATTGAAGTGATGGAAGAATTCCAATCTACTGAATGTGAATTGGATTTGGATACCCTAAACGAAATGGACAATTCAAGTGAATCGCCCATAAGAAGTAAGTTGCGATGACAGCATACGGCTTTTAATATCTTTTTGGCGCTGGTAAGTGGGTCCCATGACCTAGGAGGATCAGGCAGCATGGGCAAATCCGTAATGAGGCATTTACAGAGCGCGTTTTCGCTTGTGCAACGGGTGCTTCCATTAAAGAATGTGTCCAGCACCAGAAGCTGCGCTGGTTGCGACACGTATTGTGCATGCCGAACCATCGTTTGCCGAAGAAAGTGCTGTTTTTCATGCCCAACTCAGAGTGGTGTAAACAGAGAGGTGGCCAACCCTTGACTTGGCAGAGGGTTATGGAAGAAATTACGAAACGTTTGGGTGCTATCGGTGCTACTCGCCTTCCAGGATGAGGACCGCGTGATCTTTACTGCGCCTAGTTGGAGACGCTGCAAGATATGGCTTCTACTCGATGTCAGTGGCTTTCTTGTTGTCAGCTTCTATCCATATTGTCTGAATGAGTGTGAGGAAGTGTAGGCACCTCAGAATGATTGTAGTAAGCCAGCACAAAGTCCCTTCCCCGTCCACCTTCATTCTTTTCTTTACAAATAAGGCTTTCAAATAAAACACAGTTGTACGGCAGTGAGGCATTGGCGTTGAACACAGATGTCATGCGTCGATGGTGGTGATGACAAACAGAAAGCGTTCTGTACTCGAGTTTATTTGATGCACCCATGCCTGGCCTTGGAAGAGTGCAGTGGACCCAATTCTACGCTCGTTTTCAATGATAACACTTCATCTACCTGAAACTGCATCACACGAGTATGAGAAAACAAGTTTATAAAACTTACGTCTTGTTCTACCTCAGTCGAGATTGGTAAAAGGTAGGACCTGAGAAGCTAATCCTGATTCAGCTTCGGACCCTGAACAGCTGTTCTTGGTCCTAGGTGTGAGGAGAAGTATCGTGTTCCTGTTCACGAAAACCTGAACGCATTTGCTTTTAGCTACACAATATGAGGACTTGCTCAGCACTATCACGCTCTGAATGGGACATTTTTACATACAAAATGATGAATTCCTTTGTGTTCATTGTTTTCACCACGGTTTATTTCGAAACAACAACACAGTTAGAAGAAGCGTAGACCAATAACTTAATTTGTGCAAATATTATACATCCTACATATAGTTCTTTGGCTCCGATTTGCAGAGGGGACAATTATGATCCCTATTGTCCAATTAGGTCGGAAAATAAATCAACATCAAATCTATGGTAGATTTATTGCGGCATTGGCCACTGAGTGGAAAATCATAAGCTTGTAATCTAACTTAACCATGTCACGCCAGACGAAACTAACAGATCAAAAGTGTCACTAACAGGTGCATTAAATGTTTGCTAAAATCTACTTAGACCACCGTAGACAAAATCACCTTGACTTATCACTCGACATTACCTGGTGTAACAACTGCAGTTACAAAAGTTCTCCGGTTTGGTGGGTCCTGATTGTCCGCATATAGTCACTCACTCAAACGACCGACCGACACCAGATGCCGGTAATATACTTCACGAATAACCTGAAAAAGGCGACGACACATTTATTGAATTGCAAGTTTTACTGGGTCTTCATCTGCATAAATTCTTTCTGACTGGCTTGATTTTGGCGCCAGTTAACGTCTGACAGGGTGCAACTCACTGATCAAAGATGGAGTTCAACTACAGTTATCTTGCCTAGATATGAGGAAATTGTGGCCGACGGCCGAACCAACGCTGAGAACCCACGGCTTATCACGTCGTGAAAGGCGCTGTCACTAGTCAGCTCAACGCCCCAGGCGACTACTCTGTAAATGTCTTGAATAGACCAGCAGGTGACAGGTTGCCGTATCTATCTACCAAGGTAGGGTGAAGACTTCTTTAACTGTGGTTACGGCTACTTATGAGTAGCTGCATATGTCTTATATGCTAGGCAGCTGAAGTTCCCACTCTCAAGAAGGCCAGAATTGTGCGATTTTCGTAAGCCCGAAATACAGCGGAAGTTGGGTCGTTCTTTGGTACAGAACGAGTGGAGGAACCACACCAGGGAGGAGTGCGGTTTGGATAAACCATAGTGACATGGAAACGGATTTTACTGGTGGCTGATCGGATGGCAGTTGATCTGTTCACCGAGCTTGGCAACTGACTTGCAAACGTTTCGTCCCCAGTCGAGGAGACATCGTCAGTGCGCAGTTGAATGCGCACTGTTCAACTGCGCACTGACGATGTCTCCTCGACTGGGGACGAAACGTTTGCAAGTCAGTTGCCAAGCTCGGTGAACAGATCAACTGCCATCCGATCAGCCACCAGTAAACACACCCGAGCTACCTATATTTCTACAAATCGATAAACGGATTTTACAAATCCAAAAGCGACCGCGTACAACCAAATACACTTTGGGTCCCTACGGCACGTAGATTTTCCATGTCTCTTACAGTGGAAGTGAAATAAAATAAAGCATTTATTTTTATTCTGGATCAAGTCTCTCTGAATGTGTATTCCTGTGGGAGCATACCATACTACTGTATTGACACTAATTCATTTGAAAGCAATAACAACATAAGCAGTAAAAATTGGTACAGAGTAAAAATGATGATATTGTGACTCTTCAGAATGCTCACTCAGAAGAAATCCCAGCGACTACTTTGAATGTTTTCCTTCTCCAGAATTCACGATGCATATTCAGCGTAGCAGATGTGCACGTAATTACTTCAGTTATTTTCGTTATAAGTTACTGCAATTTCGCGTTTGTTCACAAACCAATTAAGACACCTATTTCTTGTTCAAATGCTTTTATTTCTTGTTTGAATTTGAGTTGGTCCTGAGTGATATTTATTGCGAGGGACTAGGTTTTCCGTGGTTCAAGCTTCTAAAATACCCACTGTGGGTCATGCGTACTTTGTGTTTGAAGTATGCGACAGTCACCTTACTCATTTTATGATGAGTAGACTTTGTGTACTCCAACTAACCCTTGACTCACGATGACGTCGCTTGAATGTACACGTGAATAATGGCTCGCGGATAGTAATACGACACTCGTGTTTAACTATTTAGGGACCAAAAATACGGTAGTGATCTGTATCCATTTGTAATCACCCTTTTTGTGGCAAAAAGGCGAGGTCAAATGGAGTGTAACCCCAGGCCATTTGGAGTGACACTTTCGCGAGCCTAGAATGGTTGAAGTGCTCTTGGTAAGGACTGTACAGACCGACAAACAAGATGCTTAGTTTAAATATATACACAAAAGGATCATAGGAAATTGCAAGTTCTTTTTCGGTTTGATGGGCAGTAACATTTGTGTGAAAGTTTCGTTCTTCAATAAGTGGTCATTCGAAAAGGGTTATTCAGATCGCCCAATCGTAATTCGCTGGATACAGCGATTGGTCAGCCAAATCAGAAGAAATGCGCTCACATGATGTTTCGATCAATAACCACTGGTTTAACCCAAAAGAAGTTGCCTCGACCCTAATAAACTGTGCATATAGCCTCGGACGAGTACGCGGTTATTACAGCTGACAATGATGATGATGATGATTATGACATATAGCCTCATCCTCTACCAAAACATTTGGAACCAAACTGTCCAGCTTTGTGCACTAACCAACATGCTTAAGTTCTGATGGCGTAAGGTACATTGAAATAAAAGAACTCTTCATAATTGACATTTACCTGCCTGGCAATTTTTTTGGCTAATGCTCTCTGCTATGAAAAACGGAAAGAGGAAGGGGTCAAACGATAAAGGTACTAACCCCTGCAAATATTCATTTAGAACATTTTCAATATCCATTTAGAATAGCGAGTGATAGCAAGACCAACATTCAGCTAGAAACCATATCACATAATGTCGTCACTCTTTTTTCAATGAGCCTTTCTCTTTTTGCTTGCACTACGCAGCTCCAGCGGCCCCATAATCAACGGTCAAGCGAAAGAACTACCGTCAAACTTCTCATCAGGCTTCGCGTTCCAAAAACTATTGCGAAATCCACCAAGATCCATATTTACATTATGTTCGTTCATCTTCCTTGAGATTTTGACACTCTGATGGAGATGAGTTAGAAATGAAAAAAATATCCCTGTTTTCTTTGTATGTTGTTGTGACAACATACATTGTTGTTTCTTCCTTATTCTTCAGTTATACCATTAGTCAAGGAAGAGGGGGTAGCTGCATCTAAGCTGTAACAAATCGTCAAAATCCACCCTAACTATGGCTTATGGTATGACCCCATGTTTAATTCTGTCGGATTTTCCGGAAAAACGTTTATCAATTCAGCAACGACACTGAAAATATTTTCATTACGTGATTTGTCAAGGATTACTTGCTCCTGAACGGAAGTGTCAGAGAATTTCAACAGAATGTCACTTGATTTAGAATGGATGTCATTTTGTTCTTGCTTGACCTAAGGATACGCGGTTGTTCCGCTAGCAACGATCTCTCGACACTCTACCACTGATTCCGAGGGACTTGCAGGATCCATTGCCTGTTAAAACCGCTCAAATGCAAAAGAAAATCGTAAAATCCCACTCTCCTACAAATTTGGCAACCTCTTTGAAGAAAGTTGGCAGATGAATAATTTAAACGACCATCAAAGCGTCCGTTTGAACCAATAATCCTCAAGCGTCTGGAAGATACCAACGTTCGATCCATTGTAGAAGTTATTCAGATGGTCAGGGTGGCAACCATAGCTTTTGACCCAGTGTGCGGGGGGGGGGGTGGTTAAGGAATGATAAGTCCAACTGTCAAGATGTAAAAAACGTCTGGTTCTGCACCTACTCAGGTAGTGAGAAATCTAGGTTCTGACTTTGGTTGAAGGTTTCCTCGTTTTTCAAGACAGAGTTGATGATAGTTAAAGGGACCAACTATGTCTGAACAGAAGATTGTTCTCAAAAATGAGATCAGACAAAAGAAGCTACTCACAAGGTTGCTGAAAACCCTTCGACAGCCCACGACTAGTTTTGGCCTTTTAATGGCTCATCAGGTAGGCGCAGTAGAACATAAGGTGGACGAAAACTTGGGGACTGCGCCTACCTGATGAGCCCCATGAATGGCGAAACCGGTCGTGGGCTCCCAAAGAGTTATCAGCAACCTTGTGAGCAGTTTCCTTTATGAAAATATACTGCGATATCTCGAATATCGTGCCGACTGAATCATGAGGCAGCCTGTGTGCAGCACATTCAGTTGTAGAATACCATAAACGAGAGATTCAGTTGAGTCTCTCGTGAAATACAAATTGATTTGCACATGAGTGTATTTCTCGAGATCAGACAAGCATACAACCTTGGGAACCCAGCAAGAATTATGCGTATTTACTGAAATCTGGAAAATTCATGGCTTGGCGGTTAATGATCAGTCTGATTTATGATGTTGTGTCATAGTGTATTTTACCCCACAAATCTGTATGCATGGATAATTCAATTCTTTTAACATAAGTCTATACATTCTATCACCAACGATGATTGACCCCAACTATTCGCGGAGCATCGTTTTTGGGAAAGTTCAACTGCGAAACCATGGTTCAAAATATCATCATCACCCAGTATTTGGTACTAAACACGCAAGCGGAATTATTTGTGTTTTAGGCCATGTACTCCTTTCATTGAATACAAAGATGATGTCCAACAGGCTGTCTACAAGTAGCTGGCACGAATCTAACCCAGCCTATATTAATTGGATCAATACGATTCCCAGACAGAAGAGCACAGTGAATTGGGCTGACTTCAGTCAAATCCCCTCACACATGAATCCTGGCAAAAACCCCACATCCGTAATGTTTGTCCTGTCCCGAAGTTTCATCCGTTCACTCCACGACCAAGTGCTACCCACCTGCCTACGCTGGCTAGTCATAGACTCATCTACCATAATTTCAACAATGCGTGCTCACCACGAAGTGCGCCATCTAGATCACCGGAGCGACGTACGTTTTTCAAGTGACTCATACTCTCAGTGACTCCCACGCGAATGTAAAGGTGAACAAATGAGATTCACCTGAGAACACTCGAGTGATGATCGGATCCAAGTGGTTTGCCTAGGCACAATACGAAATGGCACACGTGGAAAAGGCAATCCTATACAGAGAACTCTGATAATCAGAGGATGAGGTGGCGTAATTATTGTTTGATATAAGTAGCATAAGGGGATTGCTCAAAATCCGCAGACGGTTCACAACCGGTTTTTCTGTGTTTTGAGCATAATCCAATGAGCATAGTCCCAGATCTAGACGGTAATATAGTCCAATGTTTACCTTTGAGCTAATATGCGTAATGAAATTTCCGGAACCGCCGACTCAATGAAATCATTCACAGTCGTTAAAACGTTGATATTCTTTCACATACTCTGCACCCCACTGACTGTAAGAAGTTGAGGACAGGTGTCCAAAACTACTCTGTTTGACTACAATTCACTGTGACTTATATTCCTTTAAACGGAAACCTTTTTGTCTGATCGACAACTGTAACGTCGCAATGTTATAATACGTGTTTCGTCCGGAAAGGGCAGCTGCAATGTAGGTGAACCTGATTTACGAATCATCCATTTATGCTCAAGGGAAACTTAAGTGATAGTTTGACGGAATTGTTTAATGCGAACAAACAAGCCAAAATACTCACTCTCTCTGGTCAATTTTTGCATCAATTGTGGTTTTTTCGCAAACATTTGCAACGCCTATGTTACAAGAACTTTAAAGATGCAACTGAACAAACAAAGCAGTTCACAAAACTGTGAAGAAAATTCAGGACGAATTACGGAAACCCCACTATTGTACAGCTATGGCCATTTACTTTTTATGAATGAAGAAAGGCAGATATATCAAATCGTGACTATCGGTGGACTGCGGTCTTCAGCAACCTCTTTAAACGCCGACCAAATATGGTTCTAGTCACACAGGCGTTGGGCAGTCTGGTGACTCAAATAGGCAACACCATCAGAGATTTTCGTCTTTGAGACCAGTAAAATGCGACCTGAAAATTTTGTGCAATCATCGTAGCATTTCAGTCTTTACAAAAGAAGATTTGGTGTGGATCCACATGAATAAAGGGAGAAAGACCTTGGATCTTGTGCTTGATGTCCTCCTAAGGGATGGGCTAAAAATCGAGGCCAGAAAATGTTCAGACTTGATAATTCATATGCGTCCAACGTGCGTTGGTGGAGTAGTGGTTACACGCTCACCTCGCATTTCAGATGTCCGGGGTTCAAATTCCGGCACGGCCATTGGATATGCACTGCTGATGAGCTCTAATAAGAGCGAAACTCGGGTCCAGTGCTTCCCTTTGGTGTGGACTCACCGGAATAATTACGCCAGAACAGGCACACGGCCGTTCAAACGAGGGTGGTGTGGCTATGAACGAAGACACAATTCTCATTAACTCTTGTTGGTGTTCTTATCATACAGTGTACCTTACTAATACCACCCGAGAATCTGTCCTTACTTTGGAAACCGTTTCCTCATTGTCCCCTCAATTCGTTGTACAAAATAAAAGCAGAACCACAAATATATATTCATGAATCATTTGAAGATGAAGACCTAAGCCAACTGGTTAGTACAAAGCACGGTGAGATGATCAAAGGTTAGACGGTACACTGTGTGAAGTGAAGTGAAGTGCATAAGATAACCCTACAAATCAAAAAAGGGAACCAGTGACTGTACACTGCTAACGTCACCAAATACACAGATTTCATAAGGGAGTCTGGCCGGTTATCCCTTCTCAGACACTCACGGATGAGCTACAGGGTTCAGCGGTATAAGGTCTATTCCCTAAAGTTGTAGTTCCTTACAGATAAAAATGAATGTCTAGATCTTATTGTTTTTACATTACAAACTTTCTCCTACAAATATGGTGGAAACTTCCAAGGATACAACACGCGGAGAACACATTGAGCAACTACGCTTTCCAAGTAGTGCGAACTTTACTGCCTAGTTCTCTGGAGAAATGGTCGCAACAGATGAAGACTGCAAAACACTGAACCGGCAGTAAATGTTCGCTGCATTCAGATATGTGCCTGGCCATGTCGATTCTAATTGGTTTTGGCCTAATACACAAGGTATCATAAGGTCAGTAGTAATAAAAAGGAAGACAAGGAATCTACCAAAAGTGGCGGTTTGCCGCAGAAAAGTCACCGATTTCGTTTGGTTTATTGTCATATGCGGGTTGACAGGCTACCGATACGAATAACATGCTGGAATGGGGTGAGCTAACGAATTATGAGGTTACTGGTAAGACGCACCATGAAGTTTGGAATACTGTCGATCACCTGCATGGTGGTGGAGTGAAAGTTTGTTCGGAATGTCAGAGTTAGTTTTGGAAAAAAACGTTTTCAAAGTTCATTCCGTTATCATCATTATAAAAAAACCGTAAGAACGACGGTGAGATGGCGGAACAAAAATTTACTATCAGAGTTGACTGCTTACCATGTCTTGAGGAGAGCGTACATGCAGTATGTGTTCACTAATCCTTGCGTGACCTGTGTTAACATGTGTAAATCGTTATGTTTCAGTTTCTTCGTGTAGAACTTACGCTTTCATATCAGCCTTGCTTGCTGTCACTAAAATCCCATGAATGCCCGTTCATAGTTGACATATTTTGTTCGGTAGGAAGTCCCATGGGCCCCTGTGATTTTCTTGAACCATTTGGGAAGAATAACTTACAAAAAGCAGACTTTTACGCAAGGTATATAGCTGACTCTCCAATTAGTGTGCATATGAACTGAACCGATGGAAACAGTGTTGTTTCTACTTCTGTCCACTGGTTCGCCTCATTTTTAGTTGAGCGTAGTCATCGATGTGCAAACGTAAGACACTACTTACAAGGTTACTGACTCCATCCTTCCCAGGGCCCGTCAGTTAGGCGTAGTCCCCAAGCTTCCATCGAACTTACGATCCACTTAGACACAAGATTCCACGCAACTGAGGAAATACACTCGGTTGCCAATCAAGCCCAAATGGATCTCTCGTTTATGGGCTTTGGCAAATAAAGAGATGCACAAAAGCAACCTCCTGTTAATATCTCATATGGTTCTAACCAAAAAATCAATGTTGTAGTGAACAGGTTTCATTGATTTGCTATTAGAATAAGAAGACAAAGCCATTTGACTTGAAACAAAAAAAGCTTGCGAAAGGTGGGTCTTTTT